TTCGTGACGATCTTCCACCCCTGCTGGGGACTCTCACATGCCATGATCAAGTTCTGGATCGGAGGGTATAGAATCTTGCTGATGATAATATGCCACAACTTTAACGACTTGTCCACCACATCAGTCCCGAAGATGCCCCTTAGCTCTGCTAGATCCACACCCCTGCCAACCTTGACATCAGTCATCCCTAAGACAGCATATACACCCTCCTCCTGAAAATACGACACCATCTTACTGCGAAAAGCATCAAACATAATGTACAAATCCTGCTCCTTCTTCACACTTCCAAGCCAACGGTCTATCTCAGAGCCGGGGTTGACGCGAAACGTGCCTGTGTGGGCAAAGCCCTGATGTCCAGACATGGCCTCGGCTGTCGCCTTGACCGCTTGCGCCACGATGTTGGCGACGTTGGTGGGATTGTTGCATGATTGGGATCCCTGGCTGGAGGGTGAAGGCTGGTTGCCGGTGGGCGGTATGTCGGCTGGTGTGGGACGTAGCGACTGCTCGCCGATGGTAGGTGACTGCTGTTCTGCTGGCAGTGGGGCGATTTCTGCTCTCTCCTTCGCAAGTTGGGCGTCCACCCTTCGTTGAACTTCTTGTTGCAGCTCTTCTTTGCTGAGGGTGGAGAGGTCGATTTCGGAATCCTCCGAGGTAGGCATGATGTTTTTGTTGTGGGAGTCTACCGATTGCGCGTGAAGTCACAACCCCCCGGAATACTACGACCGCGCGCAGAATCTGAATCTGATTTTCACTAGTGTGAAAGATAAACTACGCGGGGTGCAGCAAGCCCGTGTTGGGCGTCTGTTGGGGCAGTGGGTAGTCGGCCGTGTTAGGCCGAGAGAGAGAGGTAGAGATTGAGATTGCGTTGGCGTTGGAGAAAGCGTTGGAGAAGGAAACTTGATTGGAGAGAGACGGCGGTAGCGGTGGAGAGAGCGAAAGCAGTGCGCTAGATGCGCGAGCCTTCAACACCGCAACCAAGGCCAAAAGGGTCCCCGTATCTGCATCGGTGGTACCCATCAACATACGAAATTCTCAACACGTATCCCCGAGGATCCTCACGTCTAGNATAGAGTTGGCGATGGCGTTGGAGAAAGCGTTTGAGAAGGAAACTTGATTGGAGAGAGACGGCGGCAGCGGTGGAGAGAGCGAAAGCAGTGCGCTACATGCGCGAGCCTTCAACACCGCAACCAAGGCCAAAAGGGTCCCCGTATCTGCATCGGTGGTACCCATCAACATACGAAATTCTCAACACGTATCCCCGAGGATCCTCACGTCTAGNGGGTCCCCGTATCTGCATCGGTGGTACCCATCATCATACGAAATTCCCAACACGTATTCCCCAGGATCCTCACGTCTAGAGACTGCTGCGAGTATATCTAACAGGCCTTTAGTACTCGTCTGACTCGAAAGGTGGATGCCACTTTTCGTAATGGATTTGGATCTGGGAAACTTAGGTCCCCGGAACGATTCTCCGATGAAAAGGTGGTCATGGGGTGGGCAGACGCTTTTCGTATTCCCACCTGAAACGTTGATCATTTTTGCGGTTTCTTTGTCCATTCTCAGGTGGACATTCTCCTTCAACACACAAGCAGTGTTCACGCCACGTTGCGCGTCGTGTGAACGCTCAAGCGAATCTGTTTCCGCTCCGAGGTCGATGTGATTTCGATAGGAGAACGACCTTGGTTCCATGCACAGTGGAGGACAGTAGCTTGTGGTCCTCCTTCACAATGCTGTGAATCGTCATTCCAACGAGATAGAATAATATGAGCAACCATTAAGGAGCACCTTGATCACACTGCAATTGGAAGCAATCGATGATGCGGGATGTGCCACCTTCTGTACACTGACTGTACCTACAGGTTGTGAGTCATCGCCGTACCTTTCTCGGCACACGGCCAAGGAGATGTGCCGCCTATATCAACATCGAATCTGCACTATCCGAAAGAGGTACCAACAGGAGAAAAGCGACCGTGAAATGGCCGTGAAAAAAATTGACCCGCAAGTAAGTATCCCCCAGAGTAAACCACCAAATATGAAACAAAAATACGCAACACCGTACACGAAATGACCACAATGCTTCCGCCCAATGACAGGCACAATATTTCACTCACTAATCGAAAACCAAAGCTGTCGCCACCCTCATCATTCGAATCACTTCTTCGTAAACAAGGCAGCATGCAGTCCTACTGCTCAAACCGTTACCAATATCGTCCATAGGTCGACCTAGATTGCCAGCCATACGTGCGCACCGCAATATTATTCCCTTCCCCCAGTCCCGTCCCCACAACCTCGTCCGAGTGCGGTAACTTTACGGTACCCAAAGAATTAGCCACTTCGATACCTTGCGGAGGGTCGCCAAGATTCTCCCTCCCAAGACCTATTCCCACCATTTCTCCACGCAGTACCACGTAACAAAGTCGTTCAGGTAAAACATCATCGCCAGGCGGACAAAATGATGGCCGTGTACAAACAACAAGCAACAAGTGTTGAGGAGTGTGGCTACTAGCATGAATAGGGTACATCTTATTGTTGATGGATGTGGGTCAGTCAGTAGGTATTTCCTTCTGACCCCTACCCCTTAGAATTTTCTACTCTGTGTACCCCCTGAGATGAAGTTGGATCCTCACTTCATCTCAGACCCTTGTTGATCGTCTCTCAGCAATAACAAGCAACTTTCCCATCTCAACGTGGTCGTGGACAAGTGTGTCAACGACAGAACCTTCATCTATCTCTAGAAGCAAGCTACCGCCCACGGCTTCACCTCCTTTAAACTTGGCGTCAGCTGGCATTACACGGTAAGCGGGTGCTGGACGCCGCTTCCACACTGCTGTGTGTTGTTGCCACGTTTTCTTCACAACCACTGGGTTGCTGGTTATTTGGTCTCACCCCCCACGAGAATCTAGACTTCGCGTCTTCCCTGCTTCTTCTCCTGTAGAGATGCTGGCTTGCGATGCTTTTGCTAAGCGCCCGCGGGACTGGGACCTTGCGAAGGATGCGCGACTCGGCGGTCATCGCGATGTTTTGGGCGATTTTCCCTACGTTCGCCGTCCCTCACAAACTATTTTGTCTGCATCGCGGTCCATGACGTTTTTTCTGTGGCGGATACGCTCTGCATGCAGCGACCTGCGTTGCTGGCCTTGTGTAGTGGGACTCGAGGTGACAGCATGCTTCCCATGTCTGCTACCACCTCTACTGCATTCATGCCGGCGTACCGGCCGATGTCCGCGGATTTTCCTGTTGTGCTCTCCGATTTGACTCCGCTTGCCTCGACGTGGAGCGCGTTGTGTGCACACAAATTGGGTGTCAGCCGTCCCACCAGCCTTCCCTCCACTTTTCGAAATCACATAGCACTTTTTGGGGGGGAATCGTTCACCCGCAAAGCATTTGAATTGGAAACCTTTCAACAGCGCAAACCCGCAGCGGTCTTTGCTCGCACTTCGGCACCAGTTGCGAAGGAACGCCGTGCTGCTCTGCGTGTCTTTTGGTCGGAAAACCTCATGTCCGCATCTAACACGGGTCCTTTTGTGCTACCTTGTACTGCTGTTTGTGCGTGGCATGGTGTGCGTTTGGACGCTTTTCCTGCTTGGTTCGATCCGCTTCAACCTCATGTGCACCAAGCTTTTATCACCGGGCGCATGCTTTCCTGTGGGTATCTCCGCCTTTCGCATGGACCTCGGCTTGCTTTTCCCGAAGTTGCACCCCTCTTTACTGCCTCTGCTGCCCTTGGTCCTGCTGCCTCTGCTGCGGATGGTTGTGCTACACCTACTGTTTCTGGCCTGCCCTTCCCAACATCGATCGTAGATACCCTTTATCTGGCCCTGTCTCTGTTAAACAAGAGGAAAACATGTCCAGCGGCAACGTTGAACTCCTGGACTACGAACCCGAGGGAAAGGACCCCACCGCACAACAGTTTTCGGAGGCCGGTGCGGGAGACGAGCGCTGCCCCACACCCCGCGCGTTCACCGTCGATGAATTGCTGGACAAGACGATCAATCCCGTCGCTGACGCCATTAGCGAAGGTGTATCGATTAAAGTAAAAGGCAATCGACGGATACCCTGCTAGTCGGGTCCTCCTTGACACTCTCCACCCACAGAATTCACCCTCAACTGGGGGACTCTTGTGGCCAGGATGGGTAATTCGACGGAAGTGTCACAAGGCTCTTTGTAGGATCGACTCCAAGAGGTGTTCTCAGGACCGGCACACATTGTGTCCATGGGAAAATGTCCAAGTCAGAAGACAAAGTGTGCACCCAAGGCGAACCAGTATCCAGCTGACGCCATGTGCGAAGGAGAACGGACGGGAGGTGGCGGCTACTCCGATTTTTTCGGTGACGTGGGGTCGTCCGGCCGGTGGTAAAGACGGGGCATTGACTGCGGCCGAAGCCGCGGGGTACGAGTTCCATGTTGGCGATACAGCGTTCCTGTCCCGCCCACTGGAGATGCCAGCTGAAGACGTAAATTTTCACGATGAGAATAAACTGGAAGCTCTTTTTGCATGGGCTGGCGTCAAACAACCCGTCCGTGCTCAATTTCCCCACTCTCACACCGTTGCTTTCGGGCACATTTATTCTGCCCCCTACATCGCGGAACTTCCGCGTTCTCCTCGGCAGTCCGTGTTCCGGCTTTTGTTCGCTCTCTGTCGTGCCACCTTTTTTGGCGGTCCTCAAGGAACGTCGATGGTGACCCACGATGGTGACCCCAGCTTCCTCTTGCTCGTGCGGCCTTGACCACTGATTTCAAGCACGATCTGCAGGCCTCGCATCCGGCCTCTTCTCGCCCTGCCCATGTTCCTAGAGGGGACAAGGACTACAGTAGGTCGGCGGCTCCTGCGTCTAAGAGCTGAAAGACCCGCTGGGGTGACCAAGATTCGACGGCCAAGAGCGGGAAGGACGACCACCGCCGCTCTACCCAGTCTTAGCGAGGGCGCGGCACCGGAGATGGCGGGCGAGGGCAAGCCGCGGAGACCCAGCCTACCAGGTCTTCGCCGGCGAGCTGCCACCGCCGGAGCAGGAGTCAGAGCGCAGAACGTCAACAGCGCACCAATCCTTCGTCTAGGCGTGGTCGCAGCCGGAGCGGAGACCATCGTGGGAGAAACACGCCTTCGTCTAGGCGTAGCCGCAGCCGGAGCCAAGACCGGAGCGGGGGCAACAGCAGGGCGACCAGCACTGACAGCGGTCGCGGCGCAAAAGGAAGACGTAAGTCAGGCCACGGTAACAGGCAAGTGATGTATGATCGAGGTGATTTTCATAGCTCTGGGTTGTTGGGGGAAAACAAGGATGCTTCAGAAGACGGTTCTCTTTGTTCTTCACCGCTTGTTCTATGCCCGCCCGCTGATGTAGGCCAACCGACCATGTCTTCTTTGGCGTTAATACTTGCCAACATGCAACTTCGTGAACACTAAGCCGCTGTGAAAAGCCATGCCCTGCCCATGCCGTTATGGATCATTGCACATCTTCCTTGCCTTCGGACGAACGTGTTGAGTCACCACGCCATGCTGCATCACACGCCTCGACTTCGGCTTCCCGCACTGAAATGCTGTTGGAACAAGTACTCACTCTCCTGCGAGCAAATCAAGTCGTGGATGCTGCTGCCGACGCGAATGTACAACCTCCTGTGCCCTCCCACGCTCCTAGCGTGCCACCACCTGCCCCATCTTCTNGTCGAGCTTTTCGGGAGGTCCTGTGGGGCGCGATGTTCGTGCCGAAACCGCTGCAAGGGCCATGTCAGGGTCATCGTCATCAGCCACGATGTCGGCGGCAGTATCGGTCGGACCTGCGGTGGTACCGTCAGCGTCGGCAGCCCCAGCCCTGTTGNAATTGGGTTTTCATCGCTTGGCAACGACGTTGTAAAACAAGCCAAATTCACTTCGTGAACTCGGCAACCAGGTTACCGTTTTTTTTTTTACCTCCGTTTTTTTTTTTGGCGGTAACCATAATGGTGGTCGAGTAGATCATGTTGTGCGGGGTGGAGAACCCTCACTCCGCGCAAGGGGGATGATCGCACCACGTTGTGTTAAAATGGTCAAGCACCCTCGAGGCAGTTACACAGTGCTTACAACTGTCTCTGGAAGTGAAAGCACCAGAAAATAAATTAAGTCATACGCAGCTGTCATCCGTACGCAAGGAAGTAAGCACAAGATGCCGAACACCCTTAGCAGGATGCAGCGCACCCTTCATGCGACTCGCCGAATATCTCACGGCGCTTCGCGCTTGGTGATGTGAGAGCCTGGTCCGGTGAGAACCCGGCGTGCTCCGTCCCGGCTTTGTAGGGATGCGAGGTCAATGGTCTAACGACTACGGCATGCACGACTATGAGTACTATGAGTACACTCCCCCTCCAGCGTGCGTCTGTTCTGATTGATCCTAGCTCTGCGACCGGCCACATCGTCGAGCCACCGCGTCAAGCGACATCGCCGTTGACTCAGGACGATGCTGGCTTGCCTTTGTCTCCCACCGGAGGGAGAGCGAGGCAGGAGGCTCTGGACGCTGCGGACGCCGCTGCAGCGGAGGCCGACACCATCCGCATTTAAGAAAACATGGACAAGCTAAAGCCGGAACAACATGATAGTGTCACACGCTTGCCCCTCGGTCCTGATCCTGATGAATTTGCTCGCGTCTAGCTGCAAGGGTGTGGTCACAGAGATCCTCAACAAAAGCGACGTCAAGCGCAAGTAGACTTTCAATTCCTCCACCTGGGTCACCGGATGGCTTCCGTTGTTGCGCAAACGTGTTCGTGCTGCTGTCGTTGAAGGCCGAACCACCAACCGTGCCACGCTGGAACTTCTTGATGCCACCTTCCTACAGGTTGAAAACCATCTGCGCAAGGAACCGGCAGGGCCCTGGAGGTACGCCTTCTTCATCCAGAAATTGGCGGCTGACTGAGACACTCAAGACAAGAGCTCGGGGATTGATCGTCTTCGCGGTTATGGCGTATCCAACGGCGAGACTTACTTAAAATACATTCGTTGCTGTAAGGCTCTGGCCATGACCGTCATGGTTGCTCACCACGCGTTCAAGCCTTCGGATGCGCAAGTGCAGATAGCCGTTCGAGACTCCATGTTGAAGCAGTTTCCGGTAGTGTCTGGGCAGGTGTACAAGGATGAGCAGCTCCCCATGGAAACCCCTTTTGGGCGACATGCTTCGTGTCTGGATGATATGTGGGATGTGTTGGACAAGCGTGCGTTCGCGCACACGCCGGCGGTGCATGGAGACGATTTCTTTTTGGCATCTTCCACGAATGCTAGGAGTTCGTCTTCTGTTTCGCGTGCTGTAGCTTCTTCGGCGTTGCGTTCGACGGTGGCCCCTTCGTGGAGCCAGGGCTCTTCGGCCGCCGTGATGAGTGTTCACCCTCTACTTACTGATGATCGGGACCCTTTTCTGTTGCACTACAGACACTGGCCGTTGCAAGGACACTTCCAAGAAGTGAACAACGTCGCTAGTGAGATGGCTCTAACCAAGAATGATCCGCCATTGTTCACCCCCTTGGTATCAGCTGAAGCACGCCGCAACGCGCTTCGACTGTACAAGGGCAAGTGCCTGAACTGCATAGAAGAAGACCACTCCCTCAAATCCTGTAATCGTGGTTTCGTGAACGCCACCGGCTTGCTTAACAATGGCATCAAGTTCTGTATGGAAAAAGATCCCACACTTTGGGGTCGATGGAAAACGCGCATGACCTCGTATGGACGCCCTACAGGACGCAACCCACACCGAAATCACTCCTCAGGACGCGCCCGCCGCTCATCTGATACATCAGACACGAAACAGTCCTCACACACAGAGCTCTCGTCGGAGGCTTCCATTTCGACTAAATGGGGCTGGAGGGGTAAGAAATGACAAGCCGATGGCGGAGTTCAGCCGGTGCTACCGTCAACAGCAACCACCGTGCACCCTTTTGGAGTCTTCCAAGATGTTCGTGTACAGCCTACTTCTTTGGATACTCCCCACGCTCCTCAATCACATCTAGTTTCTCGGCCCACCTCCTCGTCATCCGCCTCATCGTCTGCCGGTATCGGACATGACAAACCCATTTCGGCAGTACCTTTGTGGTGTGGGCGACAGGGAGGTAAGACGTTGAGCGGTTCATCCCTGCTTACCTCGTCCTCTCGGGTTACAGAAGGAACAAGAACCTCGTCTTCTACTGTTCGTCAAGATTCTCCTGGTGTTGTTAGCCGGGACTCTTCTCGGACAGACACGAGCCTTCTTCTACACTCGTCGGGAACCCCGTCGATCCTCCTTCTCTTTCGCAGCTTTCGTTGTCTTCGACCGTCCGCTGCCCCCGTGTGACAGCACCTGATACGAATGCGTCTTCCCCTGCTGCCCACCACGTGCTGACTGCACCACTGCCATCAGGATCGGATGGTAGTGCCCACCATTCTGTGAAAGGTTCGGTTCCTTTGTCAAGGGGGAGTAGTCAAGAGCGCCCTGCGTCAATTAATATGCACGCGTCTGCTGCCGGAATGACTTCTTGTTCTAATGGGTCTCCAATAGCCGAATGGCCTCTGCTAACATTGACCCTGCCGGAGCCGCCGCCCTTGGGCCGCCCTCCGGATCACGGCGCGTTGCGACTTCGCCCGCTCCTGCCTCGCGTTCTGGGTCCTCTCCGTCGGAGATAAGGACCCGTCCGCTTGGTCCACCCCCGCCTGCCCCTGGTGCCCGCTCTTTGCCCCTTCGCCCTGCACCGGCTCCGCCGTTTGATGACAAGTGCGAGTACGCTTCGGATGACGTCCTTCTTCTCTGGAAACCTCCGTCTGTGTTCTCGCAATGGACTCCTTCGGCTTTTGACGTACTGGGGGTACGTTATTCATGTGGTGAGCAATTAATGATGTCTGAAAAAGCGAAGTTGTTTGGGCATGTGACGTCGTATGACAAAATTATGGCTACAACCGATCCCAAGACACACAAGTTTTGGGGTCATAACGTGCGTCCTTTCGACTATGCTGAATGGGAGCGTCGTCGAGAAGAGATCGTGCTTACGGGGTCGCACGCTAAATTTTCTCAAAACCATGACATGAAAAATCATTTACTGAAGACGGGTACGCGCCTCCTTGCGGAAGCCAGCCCCTTCGATCGTGTTTGGGGTATCGGCATGTCTGCATGCTTTCCAGAGGCTAGCGTTTCATCCAAGTGGGTGGCTAGCGGTAAAAATTTGTTGGGAAAAGCTTTGATGGAAGTTCGACGCCTTCTGCGTGATCATCCCCTGTCTGGCGAAGATTTCTCTGCTTCCCCTTCTCCCACGCCCCCCATTTCGCAGCCTCCTCTCCATGGACATCGACGCATCCACGAGGTTGCTACTGTGGCAGGTTCGTCGTCACGGGAGGACCGGGGCGAAGACCCAGCTTGTCTCCGTGTGGACGCTCTGGGGGACCATGCTCCTGGCGTTCATCTGGTGGCATCGACCTCCGCTTGTGCAAACCAGCCTCCTCTTCTCGAACATGGGTCCGATCTGGTCGGCGGCACGCTCCTGTTGGACTCGGACTCATACACCACCCGGGTCCTGCTGCACGGAGGACCTACAGCCACTTCTCAACTCGCGCGAGTGGCGCTTCTGGACTCTGGGTCTCCTGCATCCTTCGTTTCAGACTCCGTGGTCACCGCCATGATAGCTGCCGGAGCCCTGAAAGCTGGCAGCGTTCGTGTTTCGCCCTCTCGTCGTTGGGGTGGGTTTGGTGATGGACCCGCCCTTGTGACCANTTCAAACCCGAAGTGGGTGCGCTTTCGTCCCCAGATGCGTTCGTTTCCAATGGTCTCTAGCGTATTCACCTTGCAGGTTGTGCCGAGCTCGAGCCGGGAGACGTACTTGGAGTGTCTGCCGCGCCGCTACTACGAGTACCGGTGGAAACCCTGAAGGCGGCACCATCTTCGATTCCTACCGGCCCCACGACATCTACATCACCACCTTGGGTCAACGCCGTTGGCCCCAAGTCCGGGACTCACCGCTCTCCGGACCCAACCTCCGCCCCGCCTCCTCCGAAGCCGCCTCCACAAGAACTACTTGACCGCTTCTCTGAGGCACAGCGCTCCAGCTTCATGCGCTTGTGGGCTAGGCTGCCCGCACATATGCACGACATTGCTTTCGATGTACACAATCCGGAATGGACACCGGAGGCTATTGATCGTTTGGCCGACGCCCTTGTTGAGTATTCTGACGTGTTCTCTACTTCGAAAATCGATTTTGGTTCCTGCATCATCATGCCATCACGTCCGTATCGTATAAACCCGTTGATGTAAAACAAAGTGGATGCCATTTTGGACCAGTATTTGGCGGCAGGGCTCATTCAGCATTCCACGTCTCCGCGGGCTTCTCCTCTGGTTGTCATCCCCAAGAAGGACGGATCGATTCGCATCACCGTCAACTACAAGCGTCTTAACGCCCTGGTGGATTTGGATGGACCACCTCTCCCTCGGGTGGACGGTATCTTGGATTCTCTGTACACCCGGCAAGTGTTCTCCATCATCGACCTCAACTCGGCTTTCCGCCAGATCGTTTGTGATGAAGACACGGTCCCGCTCACTGTCTTTTGCACTCCCACGCAGTAGTTCGAATGGCTTCGAATGCCGCAGGGAGCCAACGCAAGTCCGTCTTGGTTCGTCGAGGTCATCAACAGAGTGGTGCACGGTCTGGAGTATGTGCTTGCGTATCTTGACGATGTCTTCTGTTTCGATGAGGGACCTCTGGGGCACGTGCTCAACATGATAGGGTTCTTCAAACGGCTGCGACAGTACAACCTCAAACTGTCTCCGGGGAAGGCTCGCGTCGGCGCCACGCACGCCAACTTTCTTGGCCACACCATCTCTCCGGCCGGTGTTAGCCCTGATGGCGTCAAGGTTAGGCCGCTCACGCACCATGCCGCCGCCGACAAATGTTTACCCCCTTACTACGCACAGAAAATTCGGCGTTCTTGAATTAATTTCTGAAATGTACGAAAAAGAGCGAACGACTCCTGCTGATTGGATGGTGCAGACCGTTCCACCCCTGGGTGCAAGTGCAAAGCTGCCTTCCCACTTGAGCCATCTCTTGTCTACAATCCCTATCAATGTCCCCTCGATCGAGGGGACATTTGATAGGGACTATAGACAGCATTAGGGAGCGTGGCAAACGGGGCACGAAAAGGAGGTTTTCAAGATATTTTTCTGGAGGGAAAGCGAGACCTTCAACCCCAAGCCCTAGGTTGCCCGGTGCCTCCTATCAACGGTGGGCTAAGTACTTTTTACGCCCTTGCCCCCAGTAGCGCTTTCCACCCAAGGGTAGACAGACGCGGCGCAACTTCGCTGTTGAACCCGCGGCGTATTCGCCCCTCGATTCGACCTGTTCATTACCCTTATACTCCTCCACTCTACAAATCATCCATACTAAACTAGAGTCGTCCCCGTGTACCCTGGCACCCCCCTGGTCGAGTGGTTCAAAGGAGGAGACAATCGTGCCCTCCTTCGCGAGGTAAAGCAGGTGAAGAAGATGGGGACAAAAAGTGTCCCCAAAAGGCGATCTAGCCCTACAGGGATNGGCGCAACTTCGCTGTTGAACCCGCGGCGTATTCGCCCCTCGATTCGACCTGTTCATTACCCTTATACTCCTCCACTCTACAAATCATCCATACTAAACTAGAGTCGTCCCCGTGTACCCTGGCACCCCCCTGGTCGAGTGGTTCAAAGGAGGAGACAATCGTGCCCTCCTTCGCGAGGTAAAGCAGGTGAAGAAGATGGGGACAAAAAGTGTCCCCAAAAGGCGATCTAGCCCTACAGGGATTAAGTAGCTTCGGAGCCTTCTCGGTGGACTCAGATACTACCGGAAATCCCTCAAGAATCTCGCCACCAAGGTGCGGCCTCTCAACTCTCTTCTCAAACAAGGTGTTCCCTTGAAGTACACCCCGGGCATGGTCAAGGTTGTCAAAACGTTATNGTGAAGAAGATGGGGACAAAAAGTGTCCCCAAAAGGCGATCTAGCCCTACAGGGATTAAGTAGCTTCGGAGCCTTCTCGGTGGACTCAGATACTACCGGAAATCCCTCAAGAATCTCGCCACCAAGGTGCGGCCTCTCAACTCTCTTCTCAAACAAGGTGTTCCCTTGAAGTACACCCCGGGCATGGTCAAGGTTGTCAAAACGTTATTAAGCGAACTCGCTCGTCCCCCGATTTTGGTCTTCCCGGATTGGGCAGCGGTCGAGGGCGACAGCCTTCCTCTCCGTTCGTGTTCCGACGCGTGTATCGACGGCTTTGGCGCCTCTTTGGAACAAGAACAACTCGATGGCTCGGTGAGGCCCATTGTGTACATCAGCCGCGCTACTCTTCCTGCGGAGAGTAGCTGGACCGTTCTGGATCTGGAGGCTGGTGGCATTGTTTGGGCCATCAAACGCCTTCGCGAGTATCTGTGGTCGACCAAGTTCATCATCTATTCGGACCACAATACCTTGGGGAGCATTGGCAAGGTTAGGGAACACAACCCAAGGGTGCAACGATGGCTCGAATTTCTATCCAACTTCACCTACACCCTAAAATATCGGAAAGGTTCGGCAAACGACGACGCGGATTTTCTTTCGCGGCTACCTTTACCAGCACAAGACACGGACAATACCGGCCCCGATTGCATTGATGGTGTCGATCAAGCGGGCGTTTTCCTTATTCGGGCTTGCGGGCGCAACTATCACTCGTCCTCTACACCGGAGGTCGGTTTAAATGGGCTCCGCCCTCCTTGCCCGGCGGGAGTCTTGTCGCCCCCAGCGCTCCTGCCCTCCGATTTTGGGGATTTTCGCCGACATCACCCGCGTCGGTTGGATGCTCTGACGGACTCAACGGTTGCCTGCGAGGATTCTCCGCGGTCTCCGGGGGTCTTCATCGTTTCGCCTGTTCCCTGATCTTCAGGCCCTGTTTCCCCTTTGACTCCTGCTGCGTCCCGCGTGATGTCTCCTGTCGAGTATTCGGCGACTAGATATGTGCACGTTTTGTCTTCGCTTCCGGAGCGGGGGCCGCTCATTTCTTCACGGACTCGGGCCAAGACTACCGCTGCTTCCGGAGGCACCGTCACCGGTCCCGCTTACAGTCGACTCCGCTTTTAAGACACACCACGTTTCCCCCCCCCCAAAAGTGCCTTTTACGCGGGGAAGTGTCTTCAAAATTTCGGGGCCACCAACGTACCATCCCTGCGGCCAATGAAGGCGAAACATATGTCAAAAGGTGAGCATTCGCAGCAGAAAGGCGACCACAAGAGGTGTTGTTCAAAACCTACGACACAAGGTGATTTGAAGGTCGCAACCACTGCTGCTATTGTGCTGCAATACATACTTGCATGCCATCGTTTGAATTTCCCCGTACTGTACCACCAAAGCGCTAAAAGCGATGGTGTTCTACGACCTACGCATCGTACATGTACACGACGGTAGTGCGCTGGTGTTGATATGGGCTTAATTATTTGCTTTATTTTATTTTTAAGGCGGTGTCCTCCCCGTGAATATCTTGCCCAAGATCTCGCTACGGCGCCTCAGAAATATCGAAGGTTGTAAAACGACACTACTATATATAATAGGAAAATGTAGGTTACGCAGAAACACAGAGACCAAAAATGTCGGGAAAGCACAGCGACAAAGAGGACACCGCGCCTCCCAAAAGGTGAAAACGAGGCACAACACAACACAAACGCCAAACTCAACCTCACGAGACTTCACCCAAGGCAAACAAAGAACGTTGGCAATAAATGTGCTTTGCCCTCCGATGCCCCGAAGACAATACGCGTGCATGGGTCGCCCGGACGGACACTGATGAACCAGTGACACCAGTGCAGATTTGAACTGGCACGTCGGTTCGCCGCATGGCCTCAAGCCGGCAGCAGATGAACCGCTAGCAGATGGAATGAATCTTTCCATACACCCACACGCAGTGTAGGGCACCATGTTTCTGAGATTTTTTGTGTCCTTAAAGCGGGGAGTGTCTTTAATATTGGTGTCTTGAAAGCGGGGACGACTGTATTTCGAACGCCAGCCGCGGGCTACCATCGTCCCTCGGACATCGTCGTCTGCCCGTCGCTCTAGCAGGTCGTCTGCCCGTCGCTCTAGTAGGTCCCGCTCGACAACAAGACCACCCGAACCGTCGCGCGTCTGCTGGGGCCATCCGCGATGCCGGCATCGGCGTTTTCATCGACTGTCCCTGTGTCACCGGTGTCTTCGCCGTCATCAGAGCGCCCTACATCCCCGGTTTCGCCTTCTGTACAGGTTTCGCCCGGGACTTCGCCCCTCACGATGTCCCCTTCGCGGACATCATCACGAACTGCGGCTGCCCCAGTCGCTGGGGCTTCTCCTTCTTCAGCCTATTCCGTTGGATCGCCTGACTTTCGTTTGGAATCTACTGATGTAAACACCTCCCACCTGCGGGCTTGTGTTCAGAGTTCCAGCACTGTGGATTGGGCTAGGGAGCAATAGCGGGAGAGCGAATGTGTGGTGACAGTGCGTCTTTTGTCTCGCGGTTCTCCCTCGTCCCCCCTCCGGACTTGCTCACTCTCCGTGCTCCTCTTCGCTCCCCTCGGTTAGATGTTGTGCTTGCGTTGGCGGCGAAAACCAGACTGCACACGACCGACGATAACGTTACCCTCCTGGTACATAAATTGGCGCCGTCGCCGATTGAGCGCTCTGGCGGGAGGACCACTCGTCTCTCGGATACTGGCGTGCCCCGTGTCTACGTGCCAATGCTGATGCGTCCGTGGGTCCTTCATTCATGCCATACCGCCGCGTCCTTCCATCTCGGCGTCCATCGTACACAGCATCTGCTTGAGCGTTTCTACTGGTGTATTGGTTCGGATCGTTCCGTGCGCTGGTGGCTTCGGGCGTGTTTGGTGTGTCAAGCTCGCAATGCTGCATGTCAGTCTGCTCGGTGGCCCGTCATCGCTATGCCATTGCTGCAGGGGCCTGGTGCGGTCGTCGGCGTCGACTTCTTCGGACCGCTGCCAGTGACTGCCAAGGGCAACTCCTACATTTTGTTGTTCACAGACCGTTTCAGTCGGAGAGCCGACATGTCCGCGGTTACAGCAGCGGAACTTACGGTGAAAGGGACCGCTCACATCTTTGTCAACCAATACATGACCAAGTGGGGATGTCCGACTTCGTTATTGTCGGACAACGGACTGCATTTCTGCTCGAAGCTCTCCATGGCGATCTACGAGGTGATGAAGATCAAGAAGGTCACCACCAGCTCCTACCACCCGCAGACCAAAGGCGGCACGGAACGCGTGAATCACACAATGGTCCAGATGCTTGCGGTGGTCGTCAACGAACAGCAAAACGATTGAGACGTTCATCTCCCGCACGTTGAGTTTGCCTACAACAATTCCGCGAACCAGCCTACTGGATTAGCGCCAAACAAGATCCACATCGGACGCATCCCGCGACTCCCGCTTTCGGTCTTCGATCATCCCACGGTAGGTGGTCATCAAAGCTTGGCCCGCGATCAACTCGAGTGTTGCAACCTGGCTGTCGATTGCCAGCGCCGGGCCTACGAACTTGTCCGTGAGTACAACGGCCTGAAGATTTCGCGAGTCGAACGCCGCAATTCATCCCTGCTCGACGCCATTCACAAGCCCCCTCAGTTTACCGTTGGCGGGTGGGCTTGGGTGTACAGCACGGCTGCAACGATTCGACAGGGTGTGCAGAAGGACACGGACCAACAGGTGCTCAAGGCCAAATTCGCACTTTCCTGGACGGGGCCCTACAAAGTTCTTGCGGTGGGTCCCGCTTCTGCCGACGCCACCCCGGACGGCAGCCCGTTGGCGCGTAAACTCCTGAGATCCGGCCCGGCCGCTCGATGTCGCGTATCTGTCCTTCGTTGCAAGCCCTGTCGCAATCTGTACGAGACGGACGACTTGCCGCAATCTCTACCCGCCGAGCTTTCGCGTTATGTTCTGCACTCTTTCGGAGAGAAATGTCCACCTTTCCACGTCACCGTGGATGACGTGTCGGTGCCTGTCGGACGCCTCGACGTTGACTACATCTCGGGACATCAACTGGTGAGGGGCCGTAGCGGCGTTCTCGCTGTCCTGTACCAGACGCAGTCGTTAGGCCTGACTACTCCTTTATGGGAACGGGAATCAGACCTCGATCAATTCCGTCGACTCATCGTCTGTACTGGTCCCGGGAGGTCTGCCCAAAACAAGCAGGGTAACCGTACATACCGAGTGGCTCGGACTCGCGCGGCACAGCGGGAGCTCGCCCGGAATCGTGGAGAACGCTATTTGCCTCCTGGGGCTGATCTTGTGCTTCACGCGACTTGGCTTCGTCGTTTCAGCACTTCGCCCCTCCCTGTGGGCGCGCGACTGTGGTACAAGGCCCGTGATGGATTGTGGTGGACCGGACGTATTGGTGCTCATCAGGACGGCTCGTACATCGTTCGATTCTTGAATGATTCGGGCCCAAGCGTTCTCCCTCTGCCTACGCACCTCTACTCCACCGCCTTGGACGCCGTCCGTGGATCATGGTGTTTTGTTCACGCCACCTGGGCGACAACCGTGGTCGCACTCCGCTCCTTGCTGAGTCCTTACCGTCGGCTGTTCCCACGATTTCTTCTTAGCGTCGTCGTTTTCGAATACCAGTCGGCCTATTTCGGTCTTTTGTGTCATCCTTCTCGCCGACGTTTGGATTTTTTTTTTATCACCTTCCGTTTTTGTTTTGTGTTGTTTTTTTTCTGTCCTGTCTCCTTTCTTTTGTTGGCTTGTTTTTTGTTTTGGATGCTGGGGCAACGCCGCCTCAAGACACGCAGTGTCTAATGATCCTTCTTCCTTGTTGCCTGCATTCGTCTGACTCAGTGAACTGCCGCGACGTGGATGAACGTTCTCTCTCGCCTTTGCTTCCTTTTGTTGTTGTTGGTCTTTGGCTTTCTCGACAGGCTCCCTCCGAAGTTTCGTCGGTGTTGTTGGCCTCTGAACACTTGGAAAAAGAGTTCCCCAAGTTTCGTCGGTGTTGTTTGCCTCGGGACACTTGGATACCGAGTTCCCCGCGTTTTCCTGGTTCGCCTGTTTGCCAACTAACGTTTGACCTATTTTTTTTTGTTTTAACTCCATCGTGCCGCCGAAGTGTCGCATACGCTTGGTGCTTCGGGATTCTATCCCATTGCGTCGCCTTCTCCCGTGGATTTTCGTCGTCACCCACACTTCGTTCTGCTTCGTGTCCATCATCGCTACATTCAGGCGACGCCTTCATCACCGTCGCGCCCCTGAGTCGTCGTTTCGTTGTGTGTATCTCTACGACTTTCCTGTGTTTTATGTCTTCGTATGATGCGTATCGACAGCAAGCCATGGCGCAGTTCGTCAGACCGCCTCTCTTGCACTAATCGTTTGTACTTTGCGTCCTTGGTCCTCATTAGGTTTTGCCCTTGCCGTCTCCTTATTCGAGTTGTGTACCCTGGCACGCTGGCGATCGTTCTCCGTGCCTTTGCCTGTTGTTCTTTTCTCCTGCCCTTTGTTGACGTTGTCTTAGGTTGCGTTGAGTTTCCCTTTGCGTCGCGTCCAGTATCAAAGGCCGTATTCGTTCGGAAATTTGTTTGGGCTGTGAGTTTCGTCGGCGTATTTCGGACTCTCTCGGGTAGTCACCCTCATTCCTCCAGTTGTGGTAAGCGCAGGTGCGCGTAAAAGAGAGGTGTGTGGCGTTTGGACATTGATTTTGTTTCCTCTGTCGTCGTCTGTTCAGGATGATAGCGTGCTCTCCAGCAATATATATTCGTCGCAGCTCTATCCCTTCAAGCGTTGTCACTGAGACGTCGATGTTCCGTATTGTGAACGTTCGTATTCTTCGTCTCAATGATGGTGTGGGGGGTTGATTCGGGATATTTCTACAACCCCCCCTTCTTTTGGATGTTTTGTGAAGAGTCATATCTTCGATTCATAATCATAAATCATCAGGCAAATCTTACTGTAGCTTTTAGGATTTGAGCATTGATTTGAGTATTGAATCTGCATGTATTATATTCAGGGTGGGCTAGTGTTTAGGAGTGTGGATGCTAGCATGAAAAGGGTACATCTTCTTGTTGATAGGATGTAACCTTCTGACCCCTACCCCTTTAGGATTGTCTACTCTGTGTACCCCCTGAGATGAAGTTGGATCCCCACTCCATCTCAGACCCTTGCTGATCGTCTCTCAGCAATAACAAGCAACTTTCCAATCTCAACGTGGTCGTGGACAAGTGCGTCAACGACAGAAATTCATCTATCTCTAGGAGCAAGCTACCGCCCACGGCTTCACCTCCTTTAACAAACTTATGTTTGGCATGTCGTATGAACATCAAAGCCGCCGAAAGTTGAGAGGTTTCGAGGTCCTCAGCGACAATATGCCTCCGCATAAGTACGCACGAACGGCCTTGCACACTTGACAGACCACTGGCAAGAAGCTATGTGTTGAAAATCGTGTTGTTTATCAGAGTACATTTACCAACGCGTACATACCTAATATTGCATTCCGTTGGTGACAATGTGACCGAGGATCTGGGGCAGGCAGCTCAGCCGAATTTTTTCTGCATTCCTGAACGCCTGCGCTCTTCCCACTTCCGGAAGATTTTGCGAGGGCACGCGCAGTGCTTTCGATGCATTTCTTTCATGCACACAGAAGGTTCATCAATACGCCTGGCCTGTTCTGTGGCGGCCTCGGGAAACCAGTCGCAGAAGAAACCAAGTCGTGAGACAAATATGAAGATGAACGTAATCGGACGTTGTCCAAGACAACCGGGCTCCATTCATAAGCGAACGAGTAGACTAGTGGGAACACAAGCAGGTGCCTCACGGTGCTCCGACTGTCGTGCTGTCTTTTCAGACGCACGGCTGCCATTCCAAAGTCCCTTGATGTTCTCGATTCATGGGTAGAGGCTAATGATGCTTGGAAAGAAGTTTCCCGTTGCCAGTGCGATGATACCGAGGGAATTCCAGCATCCTGCTTGAAAACACAAAGAGAACGTATCGGGGAAATGAATAAGCCGATCGCCGCCCTGGTGGTCTAGTTGGTACCCTCGAAACCTTCTAGAGGTCAGGTCAGGAGTTCGAATCCCGGCGTAAGCAAGCTTTGCTTGCAAAGTGAGTTTTTCTCTCGCTTCCGCTCCTGGCCTAGTCGATAGCGCTAGTTCGTGTGTACATCGAGGGAAAAGAGCGCTGAACTCTTCTCGCATTAAAAATCGAAGGCAAAGCACCACAGGAGGGGAGGGTGGAGAGGGGTTCTGTGTGCCCACGGGTTGGAGTAAACGGCACTAGCGCTGTAAGTGCTGATTTGAAGTGAAGACAGAAAAAACAAAAAATGAATAAACTTGTTGTTTGCTTTCATCGGAAATTAGGAGAATAGACTACTACGTGGGTTCTCGAGCCGTCGCTAGAGGTACACGTTTGAACCTTTGAAGCCTCATGAAGGTTCAATGCGATGCTCCCAAGCAGCCTACTACCAACATGAATCTGTCAACCGCGACTGATTCGAGTCAGTAACGATGGCATAATGCTGTGAACCATTCCATGCGACATCGCCTTCAAAGTTAGTGCGATCCGTGGTAATGACAGCTCCGGACCAACCTGGATCGCTCCATTTAACAGCACCCCCAAGTCCACACCCCGTCACGTACAACGCACGTGGAACATTACACACATAGATAGAGCCTCTCACGATAGCGATCGTTGTAAAGGTACTCCACCCTACCATTGGGACCACGGAAGACCTGTTTGCTTTCGACGCCGACCTATTAGGTTTCGCCCTACGAACAAGGAGAACAATACGGCTGACACGAAAATTGTTGACACCAATTCGAAAGGATCAATCAGCATTTCCTTTTTCGGAGCCTCCAGCAATTCCGACTTTGCGATCAACAGTGAACGAAAATTGGGCAGTTTAGGAGGAGATAGTGAAACATATCTTGTACCCCGCGAAAGCCAGGCGAAAGAATGGTTACCAAGCAGGTAGGTCACAGCAGAATACTCAGCAGACTCCGGCCACCACCGTGCCCTAGGTAGGCTTAGAAATCGCCGCATAAGCCCTGGATGCGCGCTTCGAAGTGTCGTTCAGTATTCTGTGTAATCACTCTTGAAACTTTTATCGGAAAAAAATCTAGACCACGCGCGGGCTGGCGTTGCTCGCGGATGCATTTCTTGTTGTTTGGCACTATCGTAGAGAACTCAAGATGTCTACACACGAGTAGAATGGTGGGAGGAGGTGCCGTCAGTCACCTTGAGGCCCCTCCTCTCGATGGAACCCAGGCCGCCTCTGTGCCCAGCAGGCGGTCCTTCACCGCGTAAAGATAGGCGTAGCTGTAGGGAGAAGCATCGGACAGAAACGAAACGCAGGTTCAACTTCTACGCAGCGAGCGGAGGGGTCACTGTCGTTGTCCTCACAGTACCAACCACCCTGACCTCCACGCTTGGACGAGGAAGCCATGAACTTGCCCCCCCCAAATACCCAAGAAACACGTGTAGTTGTTGTTGTTGTTGTCTTCACATTAAAAACCGTTCCGATCTCTCGCTACCCAGTACGTCCGTACTGATCCAACACTCGACGAGGTCGATTCCCGTGGTCACAGGTTAACTTCCCCTAAAAAGGTACGTGTAGGCCCGGGCAAGTCAGGTACAAAGGAACCGGTCGTTGACTTGCAAGTCCAGCAATTCGACGTGAAGCGAAACGAAGGATGAGAAGCAGCGTGTGACCACAAAGAAACAGAAAGCAACTCGCGACCTGCTAAAACAACTCTTTGTTTCGTTCGGGCTTACGTCTTTTCGGTTTCCAGGCGATTCGCATGGTCAACATAAATCAACGAGACACGCA